GGCTCATTTCATTCTGAATTGAAATTCAAACAAAATTTTTGTTATTCAGAAATTCGGATGTATACGAATTTTTGAATTACAATAGTATTGAATTTAAACAAATCCGAAATAATGAAATTAAATTCGTCCGAAATATGGAATTATCTATATTCGAATTGAAATCAAAGCAAATTTGAAAATTAAACTGAATTAGAAAACAAATTCAAAATGCAAGCATATTGCTGACTATTGCTGATTTCCTTCATCTTGCAAAATTCGAATTTTGAAAAGAATAGAATAAAACAGAGTAGAATAGAAAAGAACAGAATAAAATAGAATAGAAAATAAAGGAATAGAATAGAAATAATAAGATAGAATAGAATATAATAGAATAGAAAGAATATAGCTGTCTTTTGAAATTCAAATTTTGAAATTTGAATTTTGAATAGAATAGAAAGATTATAGCCATCTTCCGAAATTTGAATATTGAAAAGAATAGTATAGAATAAAACAGAATAGAAAAGAATGGAATAAAACAGAATAGATTAGAATAAAAGATAAAAGAATAAAATAGAATATATTATAAAGGAATAGAATAGAAAATAATAAAATAGGAAATAAAAGAATAAATAGATTCGTAAAAAGAATAGATTAGAATAGAATGAAATTCTGAAATTTCAAAAAAATATAGAATAGAAGAAAACAGAATAGAACAGAAAATAAAAGAATAGAATAGAAAAAAATAGGCAATAAAATAGAATAGAAATTCTCAAAAAATAATAAATGATAAAAATTCCATTTGAGTACAGTGTTGTGTGACTGAGTAATTGTCATGCAAAGTGTGATAGCACAGAATGCTGAAAATTGGCCTGGGCCGAAGTGTCCAATGTTAAGGTGGTAAAGTGGCTTCTTCAGAAAAAATATTTAAGTACATGCTGTACTTTATGTACCTGTAACGTATTGAATAAATACTTGTCTCTCCCACTGCTTATGATGCCAAAGGGGAATCTTCAACTAAAGTCTTCTAAGAAAGCTTTCGGGAGTTTTAGTTCTCTGTGTCCCACAATACACTTGAGGGTTCCTCCTGATAACACTTCATCACTACAAGACACTGTCTTCATGACAGCACTGTGAGCAGCTACTTACAGCAGGTACTGTAAGTATGTGCCATGTTAAAGATGTTACCATTAATTTTCAGTGATCTAGGAGTAAAGGCTGAGGACTGAAATTATCTGTAACACTGTGCTGGCTTGTGATGGTGACTAATGAAATGTCCTTTTAACTGAGCTCTGAGGATTAGATCCCTGAGGCTACTTTCACACTGATCCACCGCAAAAACACAGCAAAAATGCATAGGTATTTTTAACGCGCTTCTGCCGTGAACATTTCTGAACATTTTTAAAGGATACATGACTTAAAACTACACCAAAAATGCTACTTTCACACTGAGGAGTTTTTGAAGCATTTTGAATTAAAAAGTGTCTGAAAGGCTCAAGAAAAATGCTTCCCTATGTATGTTAATGTATATCTATGCACAGTATCTCACAGAAGTGAGTACATCCCTCACATTTTTGCAAATATTTTTTATTATATCTTTTCATGTGACAACACTGAAGAAATTACACTTTGCTACAATGTAAAGTAGTGAGTGTACAGCTGGAATAACAGTGTAAATTTGCTGTCCCCCTCAAAATAACTCAACACACAGCCATTAATGTCTAAACCACTGGCAACAAAAGTGAGTACACCCCTAAGTGAAAATGTCCAAACTGGGCCCAATTAGCCATTTTGCCTCCCCAGTCTCCTGTGACTTGTTAGTGTTACAAGGTCTCAGGTGTGAATGGGGAGTGTGTTAAATTTGGTGTTATCGCTCTCACTCTCTCATATCAGTCACTGGAAGTTCAACATGGCACCTCATGGCAAAGAACTCTCTGAGGATCTGAAAAAAAGAATTGTTGCTCTACATAAAGATGGCCTAGGCTCAGGGGACTGACAACTCATGGGGTCCCCAGGCAATAGGGGATCATGGGGCCCCTGTGTCCTTGCCCGAACTAAAAAAAGCCTATGAAAAAGGTACCAGGGGCATCTCATAGGGCCCCTTACTGACCCCGGGCCCTCGGGCAGCACCTGAGTTTCTAAATGGTCAGTCTGCCCCTGCCTAGGCTATAAGAAGATTGCCAAGACCTGAAACTGAGCTGCAGCATGGTGGCCAAGACCATACAGCGGTTTAACAGAACATGTTTCACTCAGAACAGGCCTCGCCATGGTCGACCAAAGAAGGTGAGTGCCCATGCTCAGCGTCATATCCAGAGGTTGTCTTTGGGAAATAGACATGAGTGCTGCCAGCATTGCTGCAGAGGTTGAAGGGGTGGGGGTTCAGCCTGTCAGTGCTCAGACCATACGCCACACACTGCATCAAATTGGTCTGCATGGTCGTCATCCCAGAAGGAAGCCTCTTCTAAAGATGATGCACAAGAAAGCCTCAAACAGTTTGTTGAAGACAACCAGACTAAGGACATGGATTACTGGAACCATGTCCTGTGGTCTGATGAGACCAAAATAAACTTATTTGGTTCAGATGGTGTCAAGCATGTGTGGCGGCAACCAGGTGAGGAGTACAAAGACAAGTGTGTCTTGCCTGTAGTCAAGCATGGTGATGGAAGTTTCATGGTCTGGGGCTGCATGAGTGCTGCCAGCACTGGGGAGCTACAGTTCATTGAAGGAACCATGAATGCCAACATGTACTGTAACATACTGAAGCAGAGCATGATCCCCCTTCCTTCAGAGACTGGGCCGCAGGGCAGTATTCCAACATGATAATGACCCCAAACACATCTCCAAGACGACCACTGCCTTGCTAAAGAAGCTGAGGTGATGGACTGGCCAAGCGTTTCTCCAGACCTAAACCCTATTGAGCATCTGTGGAGCATCCTCAAATGGAAGGTGGAGGAGCGCTAGGTCTCTAACATCCACCAGCTTCATGATGTCGTCATGGAGGAGTGGAAGAGGACTCCAGTGGCAACCTGTGAAGCGCTGGTGAACTCCATGCCCAAGAGGGTTAAGGTAGTGCTGGAAAATAATGCACCTCACCCATCCTCCAATAAGGGAAAGAGAAAAGAGGATTTTTCGTACTCACCATAAAATTGTTTTCTCTGTGTTCAATAGAGAGGACACAGCATCTGGCTTGCCACTGCCCGGGTGCACTGCCAGAGTGTGTAAATACTTTGTTTTTGTTTGCACTGCTATGCCATTTGAGTTTTTGTGTCTGTCAACCACCACCAGGGGCTGCCTCCTGGGCTGTCTTTTGTTTTTTAGTTGCCCCTAGAATCCAACTCCTACAGGTGGCACTATATGCAACTGTTGGGTATCTAAAGCAGAGCTCTGTCCTCTGAATGCAGGGAAAAAGATTTTCGATGAGTACAAAAAAAGTTTGCATTATTTTTGATAATTATTCTAAACTGAAAATGTATCTTTTGTCTCATTATTATACAAAATATGTATAGTGCCAACATTTTGCACATCACTGTACAAAATAAAGATGGAGACAGTAGTTACAATACAGTAAAAGACAAGAGTTCCCTGCTTGTGAGAGCTTAATTTTGTACATACAGTACATCACCACTGCTCTATGTATTGCCCTTGTATTGCCATTTCTGTGTAGTAGAAGCTAGTTAGCCTGCATATTGGAATGCAAATATCAGTAAAGCAGTTCAGTAACAGCTACACTATATTGCCAAAAGTATTGGAATGTCTACCTTTACAGGCACATGAACTTTAATGGCATTCCAGTCTTAGTCTGTAGGGTTCAATATTGAGTTGGACCACCTTTTGCAGCTATAACAGTTTCAACTCTTCTGGGAAGGCTGTCCATAAGGTTTAGGAGTGAGTCTATGGGAATGTTTGACAAATCTTCCAGAAGCACATTTCTGAGGTCAAGAACTGATGTCGGATGAGAAGGCCTAGCTCACAGTCTCCGCTCTAATTCATGCCAAAGGTATTCTATCAGGTTGAGGTCAGGACTCAGGTGCAGCCCAACCCCCAAACTGTTCCCACAGAGTTGGGAGCATTACATTTTCCAAAATGTCTTGGTATAATGACGCCTTAAGAGTTCCCTTTACTGGAACTAAGTGGTCAAGCCCAAAACCTAAATAATAACCCCACACCATAATCCACCCTCCACCAAACTTTACAATTGGCACAATGCAGTCAGGCAAGTACTGTTCTCTTGGCAACCGCCAAACCCATTGTCAGACAGAGGCCTGGCTCGCAGTCTCTGCTCTAATTAATCCCAAAGGTGTTCTATCAGATTGAGGGCAGAACTCTGTGCAGGCCAGTCAAGTTCCACCACCCCAAACTCACTCATCCATGTCTTTATGGACTTTGCTTTTTGCACTGGTGCACAGTCATGTTGGAACAGGAAGGGCCCATCCCCAAACTGCTCCCACAAAGTTGGGAGCATAAAATTGTCCAAAATGTCTTGGTATGCTGATGCCTTAAGAGTTCCCTTCACTGGAACTAAGGGGCCAAACCCAACCCCTGAAAAAAACAACCCCACACCATAATCCCCCCTCTTGGCACAATGCAGTCAGGCAAGTACCATTCCCCTGGCAACCACCAAACCCAGACATGTCCAGACAGAGAATCGTGGTTCATCACTCCAGGGAACATGTCTCCACTACCCTAGAGTCCAATGGCGACGTGCTTTACACTACTGCATCCGCTTTGCATTGCACTTGGTGATGTAAGGCTTGGATGCAGCTGCTCGGTCATAGAAACCCATTCCATAAAGCTCTATATGCACTGTGGTTGTGCTAATCTGAAGGCCACACAAAGTTTGGAGGCCTTTGACGTCTTCTGCACACTGTGCGCTTCAGCATGGAAATTTAAGGGATGAACTTATTGCACAGGTGGCAAACTATCACCGTACCACGCTTGAATTCACTGAGCTCCTGATAGCGACCCATTCTTACACAAATGTTTTTAGAAGCAGTCTGCATGCATAGGTGCCTGATATTACACACCTGTGGCAATGGAGGTGATAGGAACACCTGAATCCAATGATTTGGAGGGGAATCCCAATACTTTTGGAAATATAGTGTATCTTTTATTTGAAATGAATGTAACCTGCTTCAATTTAATGTGCAGTGCTAATCTGCTTAACCTATTTTTCTGTGTGTTGAAATATTTTAGAAAATCAGCAATTGGAATGCGCTAAAATATATCAAAATTAATATCACAAATACGTGTATAAAAAGTCCCAGCATTTTAAATGTAAAAAAAGTCTCCAGTGAAAATAATCCATAAAATTCGTGTATATAAGTGTATAGAAAAAATGTCCAACACCCCAAACAGAAAATTTTTTTCTTCTTTAAACATATAAATCCACCGTGCTTTATCCACCACCAAATGAATGGAATAAACTCACCAGAGCTCAATGCTGATTAGATTATAAATCAGCACAAGCGCGTTTGCTCTGGGAGCGATGAGTAAGTAGATCATGAAGCAGCGCTCTATAGTATAGACACTTCCAGACAGCAGGAATAATACTCTGCAGTGACTTTGAGGTATAGCCAAGACTCCTTATAAAACGATCATCCTCCAAATGTATAGTAATATCACTCAAAAATAAAGAAAAGGCATGATGGCGCACCTGACACTGGTATAACACGGTATGACACTGGTCCTCCGTGAGGACGTCAGAGTGACGAAACGCGTAGGGCGGAGCCTATTGGATGACGTCAGGACGTTCCCTGGAGCTGTGTGTCCGCAGTGAACGGGGCTCGTTCATTCCGTATATCTGATCGCTTGTTATACCAGTGTCAGGTGGACACTTTATTTTGTGAGTAGGATGCAATTGTAATAAAAGTTTTAATGGTTCTTACTTTGCTGCACCATCATGCCTTTTCTTTATTTTTGAGTGATATTACTATAATTTGGAGGATGATCGTTTTATAAGGAGTCTTGGCTATACCTCAAAGTCACTGCAGAGTATTATTCCTGCTGTCTGGAAGTGTCTATACTATAGAGCGCTGCTTCATGATCTACTTACTCATCGCTCCCAGAGCAAACGCGCTTGTGCTGATTTATAATCTAATCAGCATTGAGCTCTGGTGAGTTTATTCTATTCATTTGGTGGTGGATAAAGCACGGTGGATTTATATGTTTAAAGAAGAAAAAAATTTTCTGTTTGGGGTGTTGGACATTTTTTCTATACACTTATATACACGAATTTTATGGATTATTTTCACTGGAGACTTTTTTGCATTTAAAATGCTGGGACTTTTATACACGTATTTGTGATATTAATTTTGATATATTTTATCGCATTCCAATTGCTGATTTTCTATATTTCACCAATATTTTGGGTTGAAGTTTGCTGCTGGGGAGGATTGATATTGTTGATTGGCGCTTTCTTTATATACCGTATTTGCCGGCGTATAAGACGACTTTTTGACCCTTGAAAAATTCTCTCAAAAGTCGGGGGTCGTCTTATACGCCTACACATGTTAGGGGGGCTGCGGCATTAAGTACAGGGGTTTGCAGGGGCTGACGTCTCTTACCTGGATCCAGTCCCACGACGATCCGGTCCAGGAAGCGCGGCGTCTCCTTCAGTTCGGCCACTGGATGTTCGTGCGGCTGCTGCGCGGCTCCGCCTCCTCACCGGTGATTGGCCGCCAGAACTGTAGCTCAGGAAAGGCACACAGGCGGCCAATCACCGGCGAGGGGGCGGAGCCGAGCGGCCCCGCGAAAATTGAGTGCCGGAGCAGCAGGTAAGTGCTCTGTGTAGAGGTGCTGCTGCAACCACATATGCTGGCTGCAGCAGCACCATATGAGAACAGGGTCAGCAAGTCTCAGTGGGAGGAATAGTGCCCCATCATTGGTGTCACTGATACCAATGATGGGGCACTATTCCTCCCACTGATACCAACGATGGGGCACTATTCCTCCCCCCCACTGACACCAACGATGGGGCACTATTCCCCCCCCCCACTGACACCAACGATGGGTCACTATTCCTCCCCCCACTGACACCAATGATGGGGCACTATTCCACCCCTCACTGACACCAATGATGGGACACCATTCCTCCCACTGACACCAATGATGGGGCACTATTCCTGCCACTGATACCAATGATGGGGCACTATTCCTGCCACTGATACCAATGATGGGGCACCTATTCCCCCACTGATACCAATGATGGGGCACTATTCCCCCCACTGATACCAATGATGGGGCACTATTCCTCCCACTGATACCAATGATGGGGCACTATTCCTCCCACTGGTGTGCATTGGAAGAGGGGTAGTCTTATACGGCGAGTATAGCCCAAACACTACATTTTAGCAGGAAAAGTAGGGGGGTCGTCTTATACGCCCAGTGTCTTATACGCGGCAAATACGGTATTTTGTTGAAATATTTTACCTATAATGTAAGTGGTCATTTAAATATCACTACTTTCTGAACACGGCTGGACACTTACCTTAGTCTTCTTTTCAAAGAATGACCTTGGCATATTGTGAATCCTCAAATGTGTTGTCATGATCCTTGGTGAAGGTTGTTCTTTACGTTTCTAATAGGATTTTAAAAAAGTAAGTCCTTTAGTTGCTATCAAAATACATTAGCAAAGAAATACAAAGGTCTGTTCATTAAACCAGCATAGCTTGTTCACATCGTGAGCAGCAGTAAACACACCAAGTCGTATAAGGAAAATGACAGGTGCATTTGGCTACAGCATACATTAGCTTCATGTAATATTACTTCTCATTTCACTAAAATAGTCCCTAAAACTCTAGTGAGAATCAGTAATGCTCATGTGCAGAGAATGCTGACATAGAGCAACAGCTCAAGATTCTGATATGGGCATACTGATTGGCATCCTTTCCAGAAGCTACAGGGCATCCCCCTGGCGGCAAGTGAGGGACCCTAAGTGGCAGGGTGGGCTGGCATTAACCCTAGGGTTGCCATCTCATCCCTTTCAAGCCAAACACATATTAATTTACACAGTTTCCATGGCTGATTAAGGTGGTAATTAAATTCACTAAGTGCCTCATGTGCATCAAATTAGTCTCAGAACCTGTGTAACTAATATGTGTTCAGTTTTAAAGGGATGAGATGGCAACCCTAATTATCCCCAAGGTTGAGTCCAGGGCTAATATTGGGGAATTGAGAAACACTGGGCGCTCTTCACTTTTTTTGCTTCAAACACAGGGAAGCTGGTTACGGCCCACTATTGGACGTCAGATCTGTTTCCAGCTCATACAGTGTAGAAAACCTTTAAAACACTGGCAACATTGTAAACCCATACAATCTAGGTTGATAATAGACTTCTCTGAGCTTTCTCCTAGAAGAGTCACCAGGCCCCCATGAGGATCCAGCTTCATTCAGCTCCTTCCACCAGCAGTTCCTATCCCTGGCTCTCAATCCTTCCTTTTTCTTTCAGCCAGGATAGCTTGTGGCCTCCATTAGCTAGCACATATCATTCCCCATAGAGGCTACAGGCCTAACAAGACAAACAACTCAACAACACACCTCCTTAGGCCAAGGTGTGATGAGCCTCACAAGCTCAGCCCTAACTTTTTATGCTCTTTCCAGCAAGGGAATAAACCTCCTAGTGGTTGGTCACGTGAATATTCATAACCCAGCATTACTGTGGCCTCTTACTCTAGTGGCAGAAGTACCAGGGACACCTACTGGCAGAAGGCAAAAACAGAAATACTGAGGTCACAGAAGACCAAAATAGTACAGACTAGGAGCTTGGGCTGTTTACCTTCAATCAAACTACATTTAGATAGTCTTTCCTGTTTGGGGCAGGGTAGCTGCAAATACAATTACATTGTAATAACATAAATACAATTACATTGTAATACCATTTATTACACTGTCTTAGCCTACACGGAAAATGTAAAAATAAAGGTTAAAGAAAAAATCAAAGCACACAATTAATAAACATCTTCATATTTTCTTTTTATTATACTGTTGTACTAAAAAGCTCTTTTGGGAGTAAAATAGGCCAGTGGGAGGAGTTTGTGTGGGTTGGCGTTACATCAATAAAATTTTAGTAAGAGTGAAACTTAGATTGTAAAGCACTGCGCAAACTTTTGATTCTATATGAATCCTATAGAATAATTATTATTATTATTATTATTATTAATAATATAATTGTAATAATAATGATAATAAACATGGAATATAGTTGCTGCTTCTTGAAATTGTGCTTTAGTGATGGGATTGATGTTCGAGTCGAACGAAAGTTTGACTCGAATATCACCAATTCGTACATTCGGGCTGTTTGCCCGCCACGCCCCACAATGCACTGCACACTGACAGTGCATGTGATTGGTCAAAGCAATGCACCTGACAGATCAGGAGCAATGCTTTGGTCAATCACAACACAATTGGGTGGGGCTAGCGGTGACACCACCGCTAGCTTCGCTTAATTGTTTACTTCTGACCAGCAAATGTCAGATAGCGGCAACTGCACAGTGGGTGCAGACGGGTCTGTGGGCGTCGGGTATTTTTTTATTTCAGCAAGTCAACATCATCGTGACAACACTTGATGTCGTAATTGACGATGGATTACAACAATGGAATCATTATTTTGGATTTTTTTTTTTTTAAATAAAAGACTTATGGTATGGATTAAGGGGGAACTGTTTTTTTTTGTTTGTTTGTTTTTTATTAAAATGCAATTAAAAAAAAAATATCAGCCCTGCTGCAGCAGGTTCTATACATTGTACAGCTGTGCAACTTTGCAGGTAATTTAAGCCCCCCCCCCCCCCCCCAGGCATCATTTTTAAAGGAATGTTTCTTTTTTTTTTACTTAAAGCAATGAAAAATGACTGCCCTTTTAAAAAAGGTGCTTTTTAAATTTTTTTTTTTACTGATTAATGTCCCTCCGGGCAGTACCCAAGTCTCCATACCCCTTTTATGGCCAATAACATGCATAGAAACCTTTAAAGTAGGCACTTTTGAATTTACAAGTTCAAGTCCCATAGACTTATGGGACTTTTATGCATTATGTTCGAAGTTCGTGGTTGAACTTTTGTTAGATTCTAATGTTTGACCATGAACCAAACAGGGGGGGGTGTTCGGCCCATCACTAT